GGTGCCAAAGGCCTTACTAAAGTCAAGGTAAACAACATCCACAGCCTTTTCCTCATCCAGTAAGCAGGTTGCTCTGTTGTAGAAGGAGATGAGGTTTGTCAGGCAGGACCTGCCTTTCATAAACCCATGCTGACTGGGCCTGAGCATCTGGTTGTCCTGCATGTGTTGTGTGATGGCACTCAGGATGAGCTGCTCCATCAGCTTCCCGGGCACTGAAGTCAAGCTGACAGGCCTGTAATTTCCCAGACCATCCTTCTGATCCTTCTTATATATGGGTGTCACATTAGCCAATTTCCAATCTGTCAAGACCTCCCCAGTCAGCCAGGACTGCTGGTAAATGATGGAAAGCGGTTTGGTGAGCACCCCAGCCAGCTCCTTCAAGCACCCTCGGGTGTATCCCATCCGCCCCACGGACTTGTGTGTGTCTGTGTGATGCAGCAGGTCACTGACTGTCTCCTCCTGGATTGTGGGGTGGTCGTTCTCCCAGTCTCTGTCTTCTGGCTGAGGAGGCTGGATTCCCTCAGTGCAACTAGTCTTGTTATTAAAGACTGAGGTAAAGAAGTCATTAAGCACCTCAGCTTTTTCCTCGTCACTTGTTACCATGTTTCCTCCTGCATCTAGCAGGTGAGAAGATGATCTGAAAAACTACATTTGTTCAAAAAATTTGATCAAACATGATTTTTATACTTATTGTAATCTAAATTAGGAGTACCTCCCTCAACCTTTCTATTTCTTAGATCACTCTGCCATTATGACTTCAAAATTCTCTTCTCCTCTTAGATCCCTATATGGTGTTTGAGAACATCTAGCCAACATTCTTTTGGGTACATACAGTAGATTAAAGCCATGAAAAATCTGAACACTTTTTTCTTTTTAAGCAAAAGCACTTCCACTTAAAAAAAAACGCTTGTGCACTTTTGAGCCTTGAGAGCTCTTAATGCACCTTCCCAGCCAGAGCCAGATGAAATATTCTAAGAGAGACTAAAGGTTTTAGCTCATCGCTTAATTTCAAAAGCAAGGTGCTTCAAGCTCTTACGTGGTACAGCAGCTCAAAAATCTCAGTGGCCTTGTGTGTAAAGATATCAGCAGTCATCAGAGGGAGGCTCTCTGTAACTGTAACTTAGAATGCTCCTCGCTTTTGTTTGTTAAAATAGTAATTTAAGAGCGTGAGCATTAGAAAAGCACAAGTGACTTCAGAACTATTACTACTTTAACTGTAAGACAGAACCATCCACAGATCTCTGAAGTATGCCATGGGATCCTTAAGATCCTTATGAGCAGGACTTAGTTCTGTACCTTTACCCTGAAATACACTCTTGCCCTGCTAAAATGCTGCTTTAATACAAATAATAAAATGTATAGGAACTTTAGAAAAACCTTGTAACTTTCTGATATAATTGGGTTTGAGAATACTAGGTCTTCACAAATGAAATAGGGGAAAGAGTAGATAGACCATGTAATAGAATAAGTTCGGGCAGTTAGGGAAGTCATCCAACAAACCACAGACATTTTCTTGTTTGTTTGTTGTGAAGTACTTACTTCTTACACAAATGAGTTTAACCATTTCTGTAAAGATGGAGGATTTCTGAAGCTCCCACAGCTTTTGGTATGTTTGTCCAGTGTCAAAATCTCAGTAACTGGCATAAATGATCCAGAACTAAGTGAGCCCTGACAGATGTACATGTCTTAATTTGTACAAGTCTTAGTACTGCTCCAGAGTCTTCATGTGGAAAACATGCTTCCTAAGAATTACATGGAACTCTAGGCCAGTGTATCAGTACTTTGTTTGCGAGTTACAGAAAGCTTGCGCTGGGTCATTAACAGCAATAACAGAAACCAGATGCCTTATTTCATCTACAAAACAATCACCAGAAAAATCCATATAGGCAACAAGTACTATAACATAACATATGCAAGTCTGTGGTACATCTACACTGAGCACACGGGCTGAGCTAACTGACTCACAGGTGACAGAAGTATGTAGCCAGGTACAGACCACAGAGGAGCCCTCCACCTCCAAACACAATTGTCGAAGGCTGCACAAACCCTTTACAGAAGAGGCAAAAGACAAAGTAGTCCAACAAGTAGCCTTGCACAGCAACCATTTCTTTCTAGCGTTCTCCTCACAGTAGGCTGTGAATACCTCGCCAAAGCATTCCTGTTTTGGACAAAGCCTTTTTAATATAGTTTTTGCCCAGAATTTCACAGTACAGAAAACGAAAGAAACTATCTATTTTAATTTCTTGGATGTAAAAGGTCCATTCCAAAATAACCAAGAAATCATAAAATACAGTGTTCAAATGTTTGTACCTGTGAGTTTATTAATGCAGAAGACTTAGAGAGGAAACAAAAATTAACTCAAACGGAAGCCTTTTATTAACCACAAAATTGTGTGGTTTAGGTATCAGAGAAGTTACCATAAGGCATTATTTCAGAATAAACTTAAAAGTTCTAAATTTGTAGAAGTTCTAATGGGGGTGGCTTAAGAGGAATCTTTCCCATCGTAAACTTCTTTGCTTCAAATTGTTTCAACTCTTCAGCTGACAATTCACTCATTGGTGTAAATAACTTTCCTGACGTAGCATTGCTTGTGACTGCAGAAGACGCTGATGTTATGTTATGTCCAGAGGCACTGGCAGTCTGTCCAAATACAGTACTGCTTGAATGTGAGGGAGAAGCTGCCACTGCTACATTAGAAGCTCCAACGTTTGTAAGTGGAGTGGTGCTTGAAGTGTTCACAGCAGCAGAACTGCCAAACCCTGAAAACGCAGAAGTTCCAAAACCATTAGTTGTTTCAGAAGCTTTAAGTGAGAAGGAGCCTGCAGATGGAGCCACCAGGCTGCCAAAACCAACAGAATGGGATACGCTTGGAGAGGACGTCACTCCAAATGCAGGATTACAACCAGCAGAACTGCTCCCAAAAGCAGGGGTGTTTCCAGATGATGCACTGACGAGACTGGAACTTATTTTAAAGGAGAAGTTGCTAGCACTGTTACTGCTGCTGTTCACAGGAAAGTCTGCAATTATAAAATTTATAAACAAATGTTACAATGTGCACACCTTGATACTAAACCTCTGCTGTATTTCAATAAAGCAGAGGAAGAAAAAACTCCAGAAAATGTTTAACTGTTGGTTGTTACTGCAGGAACTTACTTGACGATCCAAAACTTGATGTTTGCTGTCCTCCAAATCCAAAGGAAGGCAATGGTTGACTGACCGTGTTCTTTAATTCAGAGAGCTTAAAAAATTCCAAATACATAAATGAAAACCAGATTCCAAAAGAGTGAAATGTGTTTCAATAAGTACTTGAAACAAAAATATAGCTGCCCAGTTCAATTTAATACAACTTAGGCTAAGTCAGACAACTGATCACTTTCATCACGATTGCATACTCTTGCAGCTATGAACAAAATGCTTTAAGGCAATACATTGTTCTCTGTAAAACACTCCAGAAACACAAAGATATTACAGTTTACAGATTTTCTGGGGAACATTTGCAAGATCTCTTCATTTAAAACAAGGTGACATACTATAACTATCATATCTTAGAAATCTTTGTAGCAGCAATTAACATTGGCATTTGCAGGACAGTTTGGTGAAATGTGTCTAAAAACCCACAAATCTAAGAAAAACATGTGCCCAAGATTAATGAAAAAATGACATCAGGAACAGAAAGAGTTTACCTTTCTTTAATTAACACTTACCAAAGCTGCTTTTGTTGATGCATTTGAAGATTTCAACTGAACCAGACGATTTTTCCATTGTTTTACTAACTGTTGGACAGAATTTACCTAAGAAGAGGGGAAAAGAAAAGTCTGTTTTTATTACTGGTGGAGACAAAAAAAAAGTGATCTGACAACTAAACTGAAATAAAATTTCTAGAATGAGAAATTTCATTAAGCAAAGATGACAAGATTTTTGCTTTCCTGAAACCTCAAGGTGAAAAGCTGAAATTTTTAGTTACTAACAGACAATTCCTTTCAATTCTCTTACTACTGCCCTTAAAGCAAGTTTTTTACCTCACATAAGATTAGAAAAATGTCCTGGGACTTTCTAAATCTAAAGTTCTATCACTACCTGAATTAGGTGCCTGGGACAAAAAAAACCCCAAACAAAAACAAACCACACAAAAAATATGTACATTTTCAGTTTAAGAGAACAAACTCTTTAATCCTCGTTTTATTTCTGGTTTGTCCATTTATTATTCATTCACTAAGATGAAGACCTAAGATTTGCCTTAGCTTCTCCCATGTTTTCAGAAAAGAAAATGACTATTTTCAAAACATTATCATTCCAAACACTTTACAGTATCATGCTAAAATATTTAGCTTTAAAGAAATTAATTTCCTGAATTTAAATCAGCCCCTTTAATGTGATCCAACAGATTACTGCTCAGAACATATAAGCTATAAATGCTACCTGTGTCTTTCTGATCACTGTGATTAAAGTATTAAACAAGAAAATGGAAAGTCATGAAATAACTTACTTGTCAGGAATTTCAAACCTGAATTTCCTATATTTAGGTTCAACACACCTTATCTGAAGCCTGGCCTAATTCAATTTTCCTTAAAAACTAACCAAGTAAACATATAATGTCCCAAATGCCTGTAAGAGTGCAGTGAGGAATCTTTCTGTACACAAATTCCTTAATTTTTCAAAATGGTCTCACATCACAAACATCAATAATTCTTTTGTGTCTAGTCACATGCTGGAAGATCATGTTGCTTGGTATCAGCTCTTATAAAACAGGCTGGAAAATTCAGATTTTGGCACAGTTTAAGAACAGAAAAAAAACATGCTTTGGAAAAGACATGTTGTACTTAAACATTCTGTCAGAGAACGGTATCATACAGTTTATCATCTATATACTGAGCCTTTCATGAGCTTGCTTTTTCACGGCTTCAGTTAGGCCACAAATGTTTTTAATAGCCAGGCATAGTGTATTGATTAATCATTTCAGTTTATTTAACTGATTTTTTTTTTAATAAATACATAAACAAATGAATCTTTCTCCCATCACTGAAAATGCAATTCTGGTAATTTTAAACATGTGAAGCAACAGTGGTGACAACAGCAATTCCTTCTGTAATACAGAACCAAGGGGAAGAAGGAAAAGTGCAATGTAGCTTGAATTAGTTTGTCCTTGTGTCTGTCCAACAGCCTGATTCCTCTCCTGGCACAACACTGAACTGTGGTATCTTCCTGGATATTGGTAGGACTATGAGGGAGGAACGACACATGTAAGTTTAGAGATACATATCAAAACACATCTATCACTTCTCTTCTAGAAGTGCACATACTCCTTTAGAAGTATCTGGTATTTTCAGCATTAATTGCCTTCAATAAAGGTATGTAAAAGAACAAGGTCAAATAAACTTCCCTGCTGTTCTATCTAAAGTACTGTACATCCAGCTCTAACAATCAAACTGGCTAATAGCATACAAAGTATTAAACTTTTGAGACAGGACTCAAATAACTTCTACAAACAACACACAAGAGCAGGGCCAAGACTAAGACAAGGAGTGTCTAGGTTTAGGAAGACCATACATTTAACTGAGACTAGATAAAAGTCTCCACTTTTTGTAGAAGCTGATGTGTCCAAACGCTTAGGCCACCAGTTTTAGAATGCCAGATCCAATGGTTTTATCCTGTCATCTCAGCCAGAACTAGGAAGTTACAGTAGAGCGTACAGACTAGCAGCTATTTTTGCATTCTGTTTGATGCACGGTAATTTAAAAATATTTTGGCATTTTCATTATCTCCTAGAGTTTGGTAATTAATGAGTCAAGAGCTGCCACCTGAAGAACAATAGCAAGTCCTATCTCTAAATGTGTTCCATAAAAAGTCAGTATTTTTTAAATACTTACATAGTTCTGAACGGTATTGTTTGCTCTGCAGTTGAAATACTCCAGACGCAACTCTTCTGGAGAGATATCGTGAAAGCCTGTAAGGAGAGGAATAATCAAAGACCTCTCAGAAAATCTATTAATACTTTCAGTTGACCTTTATGTAATAGTTATGAAGAAGTGGGCCTTGGTACATTACCTGTAGGAAGTCAGTCACCGTTGGAGACACAGAAAGGATTCATTACAGAACTACAAGGATATGAACATCCAAAATAAGTTTGCCATAATCCAATATTCCTTTCTGCTGCATCACAAGGCAAATCATCACCTTGCAAATAGTTCCACAGAGGTACAACAGTGTGGACAAGCATAAGAAACATCCTAAACAGCAGCAATATGTGGCAGTTCTGAAAACATTACCTACCTGAGATATTTGGCTTTTCTTTCGTGGGTGAATAACATGAAAATATCCATTGTCCTGAAGATTTCCAAATCTCCATGTCTTTCACTACACTTTCACTAGAAAACAAAACAAAATAAAATCTCAGATGAAGGTGAAATTGTATGGTGAAAACAAAACCAAAGTAGTAATTGCCTAATTTGAATCCAAGGTCAGATTCAAATACCTGCTACCATCAAAATTAACGAAGTGTGACACAAGTCAGAATGAACAAGAGAATTACTGAGTTCTCTGTGGAAAAAAAATGGACAGTAGGCAAGATACATAAATGTCCTCTCAAAGCATTTTACTTTATCATCTAACTGCAAGTAAACCAAACCAGATCTTAAAAAAAGAAAATCCCAAACCACACAAAGTATTTTTTAATCCCTGCATGGCATATGCTGTCACAGGATTTTACCTGAATCTGTAGGTCACAATTTAAAACCTTCTCAATACTGGATGTTTTTACAATATAAATGAAGATGCACTGTATTAAATAGCAAAATTCAGGGGAAAAAAAAAAAGAAATAAGTGTTGCATATAAATTTCTGGAAAAGTATCAAAAGCATAAAAATCCAAACACTACAAAAGTGGAGAAGTAGAAGCAACATCAACAGAAGTAAACGCAAATGTAAACGGTGAAAGGATGTTGTGGTTTGAACTCTGCCAATAGCAAATCGCCAAATGGCCAGTTGTTTACTCTCCCCCCTCCCCCCCCAGTGAAATAGGGGAGGGATTAAAGAAAAATAATTTGTAGGTTAAATAACAAAAAAATTTACTAGCAAAACCAACAGTAATGGCAGTAGTCCAAAACGGGTAAAATGCAGTAGTGGCTCACCGAAGAGTGACCAGTAGGGAGCCCATCCTCAGCAGTGATCTGCACCAGAGAAGCCAAAACAAAACAAAACAAAAACAAACACAGGTGCTCGCCTATAGGCTGAGCTTTGGAGTCACGTGACACGGAATGGTCCAATGACTAATCAAGACCCCGCCCTTCAGCTGTGCTCCCTCTCAGCCCAGGAAAAGTTAACTCTGTCCTGACCAAAACCAGGACAAAGGATAAAAACTGAAGTGGACAAGCAGACAACTACAGAGTAACAAAGATTCCAAGTATTTCAGCTGTTTGTAAGACAATATACGTTTGTGTATGAGAAGCTAAATAAATAATCTGTTAAGCATTTTCTTAATGTAATCTTAAGTAAACAATAGAAAGCGGTTCCAAAACCCTGCTTCTTAAGGAAAATCACACTGCCTGTTGCTTCTCATCACCTGCCCTGTCAACTTGTACCTGCTGGTCACTCTCAACTTGATAACATACATGCATGTGAATCCAGGTTTCAACAGTTTTGCTATTAGCAGAACAATTTGTTACCTTAAGTGTCAGGAAATCCAAATCAAATAGTTCATTTTCTCAAAGAGATTTCTTTTTTTAATGTTTGAAATGCTATCCAAGGGGCTCTGGCCCCTTATTTTCAAGTAGTGAAATTTGTTTCATTCCTTATCCTCCTGACCACAACTTAAATACCATACTGTCTTACTAATATCACAGCTGTCTAGCTGGCCAATCCAGGTTCAAAACAAGGATCACTTTCTTCCTGTGCCAGCATAACTCACAACAACTCAGTGAAGAAGTGTTTTTTATCGTTCTTACTAGACATCCCAGCTTCCTCCTCATGATCATGTCCTCTACATTATCCCTAATATGTCAGTAAACTTTTAAACTGCTCATCCTAGATGGTTTCAGTAAGACAGAACTATAACTTACAGAAGTCTCTCCTCTTCGTCTTTATAGCCATCAGCAATATTTTGACTGTTCATTAACGCAGAGAATCTGTTCTGCGAAAAGTCTGCATTTCTGGGGCTGCTGCCTGATGATCCAAAAAATCCTCTTCCGTGATCTCTGCTGCCACCCCATGTATTAGACTTAAAGGCTGATGGCTGGATAACGTTAGTGTATCTCTGGCTGGTGGTACCCCATCCTCCTCCTCCTCCGCTAGTACCTTTCAATGAAAAAAAAAACACATAACAGTCTTAAATCACTAAGATATTAAACAATACAACATCAGTGAAAACTGTAACTATTCTTATTGTGACAATAAAAAGTTTAGAAAGAAAATGTAGGTTTTTTCCTAATCAGTTAACCTGATTATTTAGCCCGCTTAACTTAGTGAGTTACCCAGGGTAGTTCTTGAAACAAAGGTAAACGTGAACTCCTCCTTGCAACGCCACACCAACAACTGGTTGGCACTGCAGTAAAGAGACTCAGTTTTACTTACATCGTTTCATAAAGTACCTACCCCAGCAGAATAAAAATTAACTCAAAGTGCATTTACGTTAGGGCTCCTGTCAACACAGCTACAGCAGTGACTCTCTTGCACTGTCAAGACCTTCCAAGTTGTTTTAAGACCTTGGACCCCCCTGTGTGCGTTACCGGCACACTGACCCTTCTTCAGCAGGTACAAACAACTGCAGTGGTGTCACTGTCTTGCCCTGACTTTACCTGTCTGTTCCTCGTCATGTCCCTCGCGTACCGAAAGCTTCCAAAGACCCCTATCTGACTAAAATTAACTTTCAAGAAGTACAACACACAGGTGGCTTGGAACTCGCTCACTGCTCTGCTAAGCGAAGTTGCGCCGTTCTTCCCGCCTGTGACACACCTCGCAGTCCCTTCGCCACAGCCCAACCCCTCAAGCGCCAGAACGGGCGCTGCCGCCGACCACCGCAAGGCGACAGACGCAGGAGCAGGGCCGCCGCCGTCCCTCGAAGCTCCCGGCAGCGGCGGGCCTGA